CAATGATGAGGATGTTCGTCGCAGAATCCGTTGTGGCATATCATTTTGTTGGCATATGACGTGCCTTATACACTATTCATGGGTACTAGCATCGTTGTGTGAAACTACATCCGGGGAGTGTCCGTATTTGTTCGCTTGGAGAGAGGAGGAGGTCGTATGCTGCGCTTCGTGAATAATTTGTGCGTGTGGAAAAATAGTTTTCCGGCCTTCAGTTGTTGACATCGGGTTTATTGTTCCTTTTTCATGTGTCCTATATGTTCCCCCCCCCCGCTCGACAGCGAATTTCGGGGAAAACTGAGAAATATTGCCGGAACATTATCGGTTAAGGGAAAGAACCGGTAGGAAGTTTGAGGGAAAATCTAAACTGAATTTTCCATCATATTGGATATATATTCCAAGGCTCTACAACGAATGTGTTTAGGCTGAAAAATGGAAAATGTGGGAATTGGTGGGTAGGCTGCTTGGAAGGGGGGCTTGAGAGGGGGAGGGCGGTCGTAACGATCCCCACCATTTCTAACAGCGCCGATGCTTACATCCTGTGTAAATGATTTGGGCGGGATCATCACCAAATGGTGAAGCTCAGTCTATACTATTTTCCTACTGGCGATTATTTTCTGTTCGCTACCCCGCCCCCCCCACTTTATGTATATTGGCAGTTGGCAGCGCTTCAGCCAAAAATGTTCGCACAGGGCGTGTGTTACACGCGCGATTGTTACAAATATGAGTACATAGAATAAGCCCCCGATGCTTTTCTAAGTTGTAATAATCTGCACTCTTGCTTCTGTTAAACATTTTGGCTTAGTTGTGTAAAGGGCAAAAGTCGAGAGCAATGTCACGTATTCAATATCCTAAGATGTGCGGTAGGCCGTGGCTTGCGTGCTTCATTTTAAACGTGACGGCGCTTGCCTCTTTTGGTGGATACATTTCTGATTCTGGATACAATTGTGATCATCGCTTTGCCCTGGCAGAGGAAGCGAGTAATGCCAAGCTGTCAAGAAGATAAGATGTCAAGCTGGTTGTCTCAAGCTGAAGTAACCCATGGAAATCCATCCCAGCCACGTTCAAATGTAGCACGCAGCCACGCCTACCGTGTCTGAGGGATGTGGATTGTAGGTCATGAATGTAAGTAGTCATGGTGATCTTATCGATCGGTGATCACGAGGGAAGCCGTGGGACAGCATTTAGGCTGGTCTTCTCCTAGTTCCAAAGCACTCGTCTTCTACCATCATTTTATTCGTTCTAAAATGTACTAGTGGTATCGCCTGCGCGTCTAGGACCACGGTAGGATACAGCATCGCTGAAAAGGACGAGCAAAAATGGTGATTAGTCCAAACCTTGGCCATCATCTGGTCAATCATTAGGAGTGATTCAATTCTCCTGACGTGTTCAAACAGATTTGGCCTGAAGAATTCCATAAATCTATCTTCAGATGATAGAAGGGCCAGCATCTTAAACAGAACATCTCTGGTGGCCAGGAATTCACGTGAATATGCTGGATCGAAATAGATTCGAGCCGATAGCATCGAGGTTCCAGGCACGATCTGAAGGGAGAAAGGTCATGCTAATACTGAATATATAGCTAATAGTGAGCAGTACTTACATCGACGGGTTATAACAAAAGGCATTTACCTGTAAAATATTTGCAGTCGAGTTGTACTCGTCAGCCGAGACGGTAAGATCATAGAAAAGTGATTCCGTTCTCATGGAAAGTAACCAGTCGGTGAGTGATGTTGTCCGTTTCAAACTTCTGAAAGAGCTGACCTTTCTTGAAAAATACAAGCCTTTTACACTCAGTGAAGTGAGCATAGCATCGCTGGGAGAAGTCAGGGATCGTACTTGCTCGCTGGGAGGGGGTGCTAATTGGTCATCGGGGGTTGTCTATGGCTTCGAGAGAAAGTCTTTCACGTTGCGAGAAAACTTTCCCGGTGGTTCATTTTTCGCGATTCCGCTTTCCCGTTTCACGTGCCCCTAGTTGCCGGCATTACAAAACTACTACACAACTAGCATTTTGAATGGCTAATTTTGATAATTGATTATGACTGGTGACCAACCCGCTCCACGCCAAATTAAAAAAAACAAAACAGGAAACGTTACGAAAAAATTGACTAAAGGAGTTAGGGGTACAGGAGACGTTTGAAAAATTGCTAAGGAGTTGGGGTAATGTAGGAGAGCGGTAGGTAGAATGGGATAGAGGTAGTTTCGGAAGTGAAATTTCGGTAGTGGGGGGGGGGAAGGGCGGTCGTAATGACATGGCCATTTCACCCATCCCGAAGCTGTACCCCGGATGCAATCATAACCCTTTTAGAAATGCTGGATGTTTTCAGCGCCAACAGATCACGTGACGAGGAGACCTGCTTTAGTTGATTTTTCATATGTTTGAAAGGCAACCCATTTTCAGCTGTTGCTAATGCAAATAGTCGAGTCATCGATCCTGCATATGCAGAGTCCTTACAGTGAAATAAAAAAACATGGTAAATATTGTGTTTCGTTTCTAGTTTCATGTCTGGGCTTTAAACCCATTAGGTTGGATCAAAAGTATGCGACACTTTGACCAAATTTTCGGGCCAGAAGTTTTCCGGCACTCAAGATATCTTCAATCACAAGGTAATCGGCGAGTTGGAATGACTGAGACTAGTGCCCTTCTTTGCCACCTTCTAATTTCCATCTCATGGAACTATGTAACTATGTAACAAAGAAGAGAGAGTGGCAGCCTGTTCTCTGAGTGGGGGTCGATTTTCGCAATTTTTGACTTTTCGCAAGGATGAATTACGGACAGGACCAAAGATGTGGTAATTAGAGGTGGCCTAACTTGGCTAAAACCTGGGTAGAGGTCGCATTCTCGCGAAAATAGGTTATTTCATGAATCGATTTAAGCGTGACGTCATTCTATATTCGAAAGTCGATTAATGTTGTGACTGTTTCCTTACAAAACGGGCTAGTACCCATTGATACGCTTTTGAGTCACCCAATAACACAGTGAAATCTTTACACCATGACATTGTTTTTGGCTGAGCAATCTACTTTTCTGGTTTGAGAGATCTGCGAGGACCTGTGTATGTGTAACGAAGAAGCTCCAACACTCGTACCAACCACAAGATCTCACAAAAGTTCTTTCGCTGTGTACAAGGAAAAGAAAACTCAGTCACGGTCATTCGGTATGACTTGTCAGACGGGTCCAACTCATGAGGCATCCTTCACAAAAAATTTTTCCGATAACCGAGATTGCGGAGAAGCATGGCAGTTGTCAGTCAGGTGGGCCTAGAGAGGTTGCCAACTTACTGGTGGTTACCTTCGGCTGCGCCTCAAGAAGCTTGAGTAAAGGGCCGTCATTCTGTGCTGGCGACCTATACATTGCCTAACTACGAGTAAATAGTTCAGCCTGCAAGTGGTGGATTGCAAACGGCTACACCTCCCCCCTTGCCATGGAAGTCGTATCCTTCTCAAGCAACGTAAGCGTTAGCTTCCTCTACTACGGTGGAATGGGCCGCTACAGGAACTGCATAATATGGATAGGTAAAAAGGTAACTCAATCTGTGGAGACTTTTAGGGCTTTGAATAACTTCCGCAAAGTCATGATATACCCGATGTACAGAAACCTCAGAAGGCGATCTCATAAAGGGATAATAAATCCAAAATAATTTTGGTCTTTTTCTATAACATTCGATCAACGGGTCGCAGACTTTTCGAACAACTAACTAGTTACTATATCTTTCACTATGTTTATTGCAGTTTATCCGCAGTTCGCCATTTCAACATTATCACAAAAAAGCTGACTTGTAGACAAAATAAGCGACTCCAGGCAGGCCACAAACCTCAACCTTACGCTTACCAGGCTAGCGTACTAACCATCATCCCACCCTGCTCCAGGGTATGTGTCAAGAAAATCATGGTATGCTTTACTGGTTGGAGTGGCGAGCCACGTCGCCGCGAAAGATGAACTGTCCTGCCTTGGCGCTCTTCAAATGTTGAAGGGACGGGAAAACTTGATATCGCTAGTTATTGAGTCTTGTCTCTGCTTCAATCATTACAAGTGTCGGTACTCCAGTAGACAATGTGATACATATCGAGAACTCGCCGCGCAGTGCGACTCGGTATGCCGCGCGCGACGACGCGACAAATAAGGAATGTCTTGTCCGTCTCCCCTTACATCCACCTCAACCCTGAATTTCCGGGGAAAAAAGTTGGTGAGAAGGGAAGAAAGGTCATACTCAGCCAGCACCCGACAAAAGCGATTCTCAGCCCTTAGTGAAAGGACCATGAGTTTTGAGTGGTGAACTCCCCGAAGACCAAGTGCGGGATGAATATGACCTCTCCCAAAAACTTTCTCTCCAAGTGCGAACCCCTTTCACTTCCTTCTCACTAACTTTTCGAAAATTCGCCCAGGGTACTTTTGAACTGCCTGAACTGGGAAGTGCTCTGTGTTTAGGCAATACTGATCTCTGAAGTAGAGCGAACAGTATGGCCAGAGCACGTTCATTTCAATGAAGTGTTTTCGAGCCATGCACATTCACTCTTAGTCGGAGCAGCCGTTTCAAGGGGTGTCCTTATACTTTTGAACGTACTGTAGTATTTTGCCGACTTACTATTATGTGTTGAACTGAGGTTCACCAGAACAGGTGCATAATAGTCCCTAACACGGTGGAGTTCGGAAAAAGAGTGCAAAGTGGTTAAGTTTATGGAGAGACTAATCCTCCTGAGTGACCTCCATGCCTCGACAGTGAACTAAGTACTAAGGAAGTAATGCTATGAAAGTCAGTTCATAACATATTATGGTTTACAGATAATCCAAAATATCGATCGGTCGGGTTTAACCTCATCTTTGCGAATAACATTGACACTCCGTTGTTATCGGGTTGACGTATATTTTGAACACATTTCTCATAGAAAATTCGCATAAGGTTGTCTTCTCGTGTCGTAAATGAAGGTAGAGTTACTAGTATATCTGAAAAGTACGGATGCTTTGAAAATGCAGTTGCTTGATGATTCAAATGATATCGAAATTATACTTTGAAAACCTTACCTTTAACTTCTTTTATAACTTTTTCTTTAAGAAGTTCGGTTTGTGTGTACTGAAACTGATCTTCAGGTATTGGATGTGATTTAATCCATCCATTGCAGACAAATGAATAGAAGTCTTCACATGGATCAATCGATCGATCAATAGATTCAACGAGATCCGGGTACTGAACGACCCGTCCTGCGACACTACTGTCAGAATGTTCTGCAAAATGTGTTTGTTTACAAGTTTTGGACATGAAAAAATTTTCAAGAAAATACCGGGAAACATAGCGATGCGTGGGGGGGGGCAGCAAGTTCATTTCTGTGACTCTGCTAAGCTTAAGCCTTGCTTAGAGGAAATGGCGTAGACGCGGTGCCGCGTTACCCTTCTCAACTTACATTTGTACCAAAGAAAACATGTTTTGTAGGTAGCAGCGTGGTTTGGAGTGGGACGAGGTGGGTGGGAAACCACTCGGCCAGGGCTTCCGCATCCCTTTCCCCCAATCAAGGCTTAGGCTCAGGAGAGACTATGTCTCCTGTGTGGGAGTCCCTAAGCAACTCTCGTCTGCGCTTAGAGCCTAAGCCTTTTTAGAGGAACGCACAGAAGCTTGGCCGAGTGGTACCCCCTCCCCTCCCCTCCCCCCCCCCCCCAAAGTGCAGTCGTGATCCCTGCTAATGACAGGGCGTGTGAAGCGGCGCGGGTTGCAGCGCAGCTAGGGCGGGTCTTTTTCCGCCAATGATGCCACACTAAGCCCGCTATTACTGGCGGAAAAGCTGATCTGGCTGCGCTCCAAAACATGCTCCGGTCAGACGCCCTATCGTTTGCAGGGAACATTACTGAGTATTAGCGCCATTTTGTTTTCAAAAGGAGATATATGTGTTTACTCACTGACTTTCACGAAACTCATATTTATCAAATTCCTTGAAGTTAGTAAGAGATTTAGAATTATTCATTGAATATTTATTTATCGATTATTTTGAGACATATCTCTGACATCTGAAAGTCTGATTAATCGTAAGAGCGTAGTTTGACTAGAATAAAAAAAATCGCGGCGTTCGGCTCTGACGGAGGAGGGAGAGCATTTTGCACTCACAGTAGTCCCTTTTCCTTTAGAACATTTTGGTTATTGGTAAAACCTACAAGCTGTTGTGAAGCTGCCAAAGGGTATAAGTGAGCCACTTTGGTTACTGGAGTTCACAGCTCTTCGCAAGATAGCCTGAACTAGCTTTGTTGACAATAGCTACCTTTTGGTGCCCCTCCCCCAAGCCGAACTGCGCCTAAAAACTGGGCTTATTCCCGAAGGGCAAGAATGTTGAGCTATTGCCACGGAAGAAAGAATTAGAACGAGCAAGGGGGGGGGGGTAATAAAAAACATAATGTCGTTGGAATTCAAAGTTGAAACCGAAATTAAGTACCTGATCGTTTGTCGACGTTATACTCTACTCCATCAGCTTCTACTCGTAAATCATTGAAAGACATCATTCCGTCGCGAATCTCTACATCTTTCATGAACAGTGTGAGATTACCAGCTCGCAGTGTAATATTATTCAGAGCAGTAATTAGATTGATATTTCTACAGTAACATAGTAGAGTAATGGAATATAGTTGTAGAAGTATGGCCTTTGAATCCATGAAACAGCGCAAACCAGAGTCTCATAGATCATCTATTAGCACATGATGATTTCAGGGGAGGAGTCGAGCAAAAGTTCAGTTCAGTGAGAGGTGGAGAATGTTTGTATGAATGACTCACACACAGTACACGTAATCTCGACCGATTATGGTGTGCATGAACTATACTGGAGTATCAAAAGGGGGCAACGCAGGTAGAGATGATCCCATATGCAGCTATTACTAGTGCTCGTGTACCGGTTCTAACCACAGATCCATAAAAAACGCTCGAGAATTACCGTATTGTCCACGGCAAAACTAGTAGAGAGGTAATCCCGAATAGATCAGCGGTAGTCTACTGGAAACATGTTGAAATCAGCCAACCGATGACGTCACGGCTCTAGCCTGTGGTGTTTGCTGTTGTTCAACCTAATCACGGTTCAACATATGTATATTTTGAAAAGCAAATCCAAGGTCAGCAAAAGACCATTTTTCTTGCTATAAGGGATGAGACTGGGTTTACATCAACGCAAGCTCCCTCCCCGTCATCATCTGTGAAAACGCCGCCGCACTGCTTCTCGCTGGTGACCGACGTTGCGCTTACAACCCGCTGCGAGACGCGCAAGAGAATCGCGAATTGCCCGCGTGCGGCAATGGGCGCGACGTATTTTTGATATGCACTACTTTTGAAGGAAGCATTGCATTTAGCCCACTTTAAGGCTATTTTTGTACACTTATCATTTGTCTATCTATATTCCAGTGACCTAAATACACCTTAAATCATCGTCCATCTAGACGGTCGCGACTCGCACGCGACGCCCACTTCGCGCGCGCGATTACGAGTCTCTCGCCCATGTACACTCTTCTTCATACGGACTGTCGGCGTGTATCGGCCAGTGTAGGAGTGCGCACACTGTTTGAAGCCGTTCTCAGCCTTTTCTTTGAAGCGCGTATGCGACAAAAAGTGGTAGAAAACGAGTAATACGAAGGATATAATGCTGTTATGTCATTTGATCGCTTCAACAACTGGTGCAGAAAGACTTTGGAACCGCGGAAAACGCAGCCGCACTGACCCGCCCCAAAGCGCCTGTAATTGATGAGGAGTTAAACTCAACCGCACCCGCACCCTCATTACCACATCCAAGACGCCTCCTGATGGGGATCCACGCAAGATGATTGGCGTTCGGTGTAGGGCTTGCTGCTGGTTGGTATTGCCTGTAGGGGCGTCGGGCTCCCATGCCCGACGTGCCCCACAACCAGTGCCGATCATCGTGTGGTTGTCCTTAGTCAGGGGATCGTTTGGCCACTCGGTGAGGAGAAGAGGTTCTATTGCCCACTGACAAAATGTTTCCGGTTGTTGACTTTTCTTCGCCTTTTCCGTTTCACTAGGCGCTTTATCCCGCAGCCCGTCTCATCCCGACGCGTTAGGGGCTTCTTGTGGCATAGACCTCCGAAATTGAAAACGAAACTACGGAAAATAGTAGAAAGTTGAGAGCATTCGCGAAAATGTTACGTAGCGGGGGAACGAGGGGAGGGAGTCGTGAATAGAGTAGGAATCCTGAGGAGAGGTCGTACTTTGAATTTTTTTTTTTTCCGAAGACAGGACGCTGACTGCGTACAAATGTAGCGGGGAGATAGGGTGATCCACGTCTTTCCTTAGTCGCACTCTCTTTCTTCAAGATAACGCCTCCGCTGCTTCAAGGTAGTTCCACTAAAATTTTGTGTGGAAAGCGACTGCGAACTATATGAGCGCGTACACTATCGCTTGCCATCACTGTCTCAGAGAAGGGATCAGAGAGCAGACATGTACCAACGGTCCACTTGCAATCCTCGGGCGTTGGATTCGCGGCGGCCCCAACCATTCACCAATAGACACTTGTAACTTGTTGACTCGACACTTTACGCCTTGCTTCCTTATGTTGCCGCCCCCCCTTTTTTTTTTCTTTTGTTCCCCCTGCTGATGGTATGCGCAATCGATGTTTGCACCCCAAGCGACGATTGCTGAGCCTACTACGAGGTATCCGGAACGTGCGTGTTGAAAAGCTGATCGAACTTGCCACTGTGGCGGCCTCTGCCTCTCCATAGCTATCTATCGTCTGCCCCCCTCTGCTCCACATCTCACATCGGGGTTATCGCAATATTGGTTCGCAACACGTACTATTGTTGAGTTGCGATTTGTTTGTATCCGCAGTAATAAATCAATCAAATCATAATATCAACCCCTACAATCCCAACGAACAAGACTGTACCTTTGCCTCATTCCTTTGACTCGCTCGCAACTGATGTCGGCGTTGACACCCTTATCGCACTGATAAGTCAGAAATTGAGTCAGAGGAGACAATGATCGTTTTCCAACGCAGTGACGCTTAGGAAGCAGAAAACGAGATTCGTATCTCATCAGGTACGATAGGGTTTCAATATATGACATAGTTTACTTTTGGCAGCATTTCTACTGCTAGCTGGGGCAAAAAACTGCAGCCAACAAGCAAGCATAGTGCGTTCTGTCGATAAGTTGGGTCTACAGCGGTGCCAAAGTAAGATAAACATTCGTGATATGGTTATTGAATTTCTGATTGGACATTTCCATTATCATTTTCAACAGCATATTGTGCACTATCACAAAACTCCGCCACAGCCTTCTAGATGAACGTCATCAAGAGATTCTGCCACGCGACCGGTGATTCAGTGCCTGAGTTAGCGAGGTTGTTGATTTTTCGCCTCTGTGGAAGACTACCCTTTGAGCATCGCACCAACCCGGTAATCGAGGGGGTTCAGGTCAGGTGACACACTTGGACTTCGATTCCAAGTGGGCGAGAGTTTTTCCAACGCTCTTCGATTCCATGTGCTGGCACCCAATCCTGTAGCAGTACGAAGTTTCCAAGATGGTACAGGCGACGACATGAAGGCAGGATATTCTCCTCGAGTTGGTCGATGTAACCGTCAGCGTTCACTTTCAGTCCGGAGTCTACGAAGAAAATATCAGTCTTCCCATTCCAGGAACTTCCGGTCCATACCATGAAGCCGCGCCTTGGCGACTGCGGTGAAGATGATGTCCTAGACCCGTGGCGACGTTTTCAAAGCTGCTCGATGTTGGAGGTCCTTCGCAAGATCAAGAGTGCTGCTCGCCAGGTGGCTGCTGATATGTGCCCTCGGGCGAAGTGTCTTTTATTGCCCCCCCCCCTGTATATGTGTGCTCTGTGTAGAGAAGATAAGTTCAGTGAAATACTAGTACTTTATCAAGTTTCTTCTAGCAGGTAGAGAAGGGCAGACCACTCATGGTATTGAAGTCATAAACTTTAGACGCTTTGACGAACTTTAGAACACTGAGAAGTCGGTTCGTTTGCCCTCTGAGCTTAGGCGAAAATCCTCATCACCCTCGGCTTACAGAGGTTGACCTCTCAGGAGTTGACCTCTATAAGTCAACCTTTCGTGAGCGGTGAGGCGGGAAGTCGTTCGACGGCTAAGGGAGGGGAGCCACTAAAATTTAATCCATATTTAAGCCTCAGACAAAGGCAGTATAACAAGTTCCACATAACTACCTCGTCGGTACACAAGAAAACCAGCGAAAGTAAAGATTGAATTCTTTCAGATAAGATCATCAAATAGCAGTAATAATAACAATAATAGCATATATAATAATAATGTTAATTTGATAATAATTTATGGTAGTAATAATAGGAATGCGTAATAATATCAATAATAATAATATAACAATTAATAATAATCAACAATTATTAAAGATAAAAAGGATAAAGTCTTCGCCGTTGATCAATCCCTTGTGGGATGCGGCACGCATTCTACATTCAGAATCGTAGTGGCTTATTGAATGCGATGTGGCCTATACAATGACTTGCGGTGGCCAGCCGATGTACAAGTCAGTGTTTTATCCTCCCAGACGAATCTGGTACCAATTTATCTCCCCGGAGGGTAAGAAGCTTGGTTGCCTGGGGAGAGTCGACTGGATTGAACCCGCGCCAGCGCGTGTGTAAGCGCGCCACTTGTCACTACACCACTCGCCGCAATAATAATATAATAATAATAATAATAATAATAATAATAATAATAATAATAATAATAATAATAATAATAATAATAATAATAATAATAATAATAATAATAATAATAATAATAATAATAATAATAATAATAATAATAATAATATATAATGCGATGTGTCTATAATACCATGCGAGCCAGCCCCACAGCAAGACCGTGCTATCCTTCACACAGCCTGGGTAGCGAGTTAACGTCCCCGGAGGGTAGAAGGCTTGGTTGGCCTGGGCGGGAGTCGACCTGGGATTTGAACCCGGCGCCGCGCGAGTGGTAAGCGCGCCACTTGTCACTACACCGCTTCCGCGCAATATAATAGATAATATTATAATATTAAATAACAATAATAATATTAATGCGATGTGTCATAATGGGCATGCGAGCCAGCCGTCACAGAAAGGCTGCCGTGCCTTCCAGACAAGCCTGGTACGCATTTACCGTCCCCGGAACGTTAGAAGGCTTGGTTGGCTGAAGCAGGATCCCGATCCAGAGCTTTGACTAGGACCGTAGCGCGGCAACAATAATTATTACTAATAAGCAATAAAATAATAATAATAATAAATAATAATAATAATAATAATAATATAATAGTATATTATTTATTATTTATTATTATTATTATTATTATTATTATTATTATTAATCACAATCATAATAATAACAACAATAATAGTAGTAATAACGATAATAATTCAGGTGGAGGTGGTGTAGTGGCAGGTGGAAGGCCTTACTCGCCCACGGTCCTGGGAACAAGTCCTGGATCGGCTCCTCTCAGGCCATACCAAGCCTTCTGCCTTCCGGGTGCGGAAATCAGGCTTGTCGGAAGGATGCACTGACTTGCTGTGGTTTTA